CCGAATGGGGGTCGGAGAGGCACCGCTTCTCAGCAGAGGGAATCCATCCTCCAAGCCAGAGGTGGGCTAGGAGTGACTGCCCCCAGCTGGCCAGCCTGGAGCACTGCAGTGTCAGGAGCCAGCCCCACACAGCAGGAAGAGAGTCTTGCTCCCTCAAGGAACCAAATGCTGGCAGAGGAGCCCAAGAGACCACTGTCACTGTCAGTCTTTTTATTACAAAAATAAATGCCTGTTCGAGAGCAGAAATGCTTAAATTAAAGGGCTGGGGGGAGAGTGCCACCTCTGGGAAGTGACGTCACAGCCAGCTGCCCCCTACCTCCTCTTCTCCTTCACGCTGTAGTTCAGATGCAGAGGGGCTGGCTGGAAGACAAGGAGAGCTGTATGAGTGTTCTGCCTGGGGGGGGAACGGGGATGGGGACGGGGCAGCCCACCCTGGAATGTGCCCCCACCTTGCCAAACCAGCGGGTGAGCCAAAGCTGCTTCAGGGTCAGGTGATCTGGAAGCACCTCGTTGTCAAACAGGATCTGTACCTGCACGGGAGAAGCCCCCAGCACACCCATTAGCAGGGGCCAGAAAGCCCCGTCTCTGGGGCACCAGCACGTGGGCCTCCAAGACACGCCCTGCAGACCCTCCTGGGCCAGGCGGAGCCTCACTCACATACTGCAAGGCCAGCTCCAGTCGACAGCACAAAACCCGGCGGAGGTGGCGGATCTGGGCCCGCACAGAACAGCGGACATACTTTTGCTGCGGGAGGAGGACAGAACAAGGTGATGGAGCCAGCCGGGCTAGGGGAGCCTCAGCCCTGTTGCCCCCGTGTGCTTCCCTCCCCGTTGTTCCAGTGCTCTTTTTATTAGTTCTTTAGAGCTTCAACTACCCTGCTTACCTTTTCTCTAGGAAGGGGGGGGGGGCTGCCAGCACTACCCTCTCCCACTACAGGGATTTGCCTGCATGGGAAGAGGGGAGATTGGTGGCAAGGGGGTCCCATGGCAATGTGGAATGGAGCTGGAACCCACCCCCCGAAGCTCCAGGTCCCCCAGAAGCTCCTCACCTGCAGGACATGTTTGCTCTTCTCCTTCCCAGAGCTGCTGCATGAGAGGAAGAAAGAAGAAGAGACCCTGAATCTGGCCCAACTCAGTAAGGAAACCAGTTTGGGGGAAGCCTAGCAAAGGGAAGCACCCTGCTAGCCTGCAGGGAGGGAATCTGCTGAACCCCTGGGCCCACACCGCTCTCCCAAAAGGAACAGAGGTGGAAAGCCCTCGGGACTCATCCCGCGCCCCACTCACGCCCTCTGAGCCTGCCAGGCTTGTTCTGAGGCAACGGGGAGTGCCGCAGCAAAGCCGGCAGCCTCTGTCCACCGCACTCCAGCAACTCTCCCTGCCTCAGCCCTGCCAAGTTTCCACAGAGCCTCCCAGAGCTGCGTTCTTCCCAGTTCCACCTGCTGCTTTCCACGGCAAAGGCACAGGAGGAAGTCCGGCAGAAGTCGCCCTGGCCTCCTGGGAGCACAGCCTCCCCCCAGAGCCCGATTCTGCCCAGCTGCTGCCCTGCCTTCTCCTACTCACCTCTGCTTCTCCAGACAGAGCATGACGTGCTCGTCGAAGCGGTAATAGTGAGCGCGCGAATGGTCAAAGGTGGTATATGGCAGGCCCACGCGGTCCGAAGCAGGGTCTGGGATTGAAGGCACGCGGTCAGGCCAGGGGGCTCTTGCCTGCCAAAGGCCCGTGGGAGGCTGCCCCTCAAGCCTGCTGTCTCCTGGAGGAGGAGGGAGCAGCGAGGGGAAGTTCCTTACCTTCCTGGCTGGCCTGGGTGCCACGCTCCAGCCCCCGAGACTGGTAGAATTCTCGGATCCTCCTCTCCTCACCTGGCACAATTTGGGGGAGGGAAGGGGGGGGAGGGGAGGGGAAAGAAGAGAAGAGAGCAAGGGGTGAGGGGCAAGTTCCCTCCTTTGCCAGCCCAGCAGAAAACCCGGTGGGGGGGAGCTGCCTGGAAACAGAAGGTCAAGCTGCTACAATGGATTAGCTATTTAAGTCACCCTTTTGTGAAAGTTCCCTGAATGGTTTAACCAAGCAATAAACATTACTGAATAACATTCCACAATAATCCTGCTGTAAAATAAACATCAAACTGCAGTATTCTAATAGAAGACGTTAAACCTTTGAAGAGACTCGAATCTAAACTTGAAAATGCCTAGCAGCAGCAGCAGCAGCAGCAGCAGCAGCAGCAGCAGCAA